AACATCCTTTGCCTAACCTCCTCACACCACCTGCCAACCTCATAGGCATACCTTTTGTATCAGCTATTTCCCCCTGAGCCAGCAGGACCCCCCAGAGATAATTGCAGAGCCACATGATCAGGATAGCAATTTTTGACATTGAATAATTAGTTCGACATGTCTACTTGGATGTCTCTTAAGCAGTTCAGTTATAGTGTTTAAAATTAAACTCATCAGCTTCTTTCCCAGTTACCTCCTGTGTTCCCAATCGCAGTATAATGACAAATAAGACACGGTTACTGCCTTTGTAACAACTGTGTGAATATATAGAGATCAAATGGGAAGTTGAACTACAGAAAAAATCAGAATGAAAATAATAATTATATGTCTGGTTGATCTGTTTAGGGGTATTGTCCTGTCATTTATCATTTTGTAAATTCCTTTAATGTGGTTACATAATGTGTACATTTTCAATAAGAGACTTGCAAAGAGAAAGAGTTATGTGATATGGGCTTCTATATGCACGGTTTTATTACCTGTGTGGTGATGTGCTGAAATGTAGCTGCTTCAAAAATATTTGGTCTCTGATTAGGATGGTCCTTCTTTGGATTTACTACAGTATATTCAGACATGTTTTGTTTCAATTTGTAAAAGGCTTTTCAGGGAGCAGAATCTCATTAATCTTAAATAGTATACCTTCATTTAACTTAAGTACCCATCATGCCCCAGGTACTGTGGTAGGTGCTAGAGATTCAGAAATAAATACACACTGCCCTCAGAAAGCTTACAGTTTAATGGGGAAGACAGATAAACCAATAGTCGATACAGTCTGACAAATGCCATAATAGAAGTATCGATCCCAAGCTGTGATAAAGGTTTATCTTACAATTATACTGTGAATTGTGGTTGAACTAGTTTTTTTCTCCCACAGAGTCTTTCTTTAGTTCATGTGGTAGTTTACATAAACTAAGTGAAGAGCCACTAATTCCTCCTCCACTTCCTCCTCGAAAAAAGTTTGATCATGATGCTTCAAATTCCAAGGTAATCAACAGGACTTGACTTCAACTTATTCTAAGTTGTGCATCTTCTAAATAATGCCCATTGTTGTAAAGAGTCTGTCAGTTATACTTTGGCTACCATTTATGGTTTTTCAACATTTGGGTTGTATTTGAAAAATACTTTTGGTTGTCTAATACTTATAAAAACTTTTTCTAAAAAAGAGGCTGGGTTGGGCATGGTGGCTCACGCCTGTAATCCCAGTGCTTCGAAAGAACAAGGTGGGTAGATCACTTGAGATCAGGAGTTCAAGTCCAGCGTGGCCAACATGGTGAAACCATCTCTACTAAAACTACAAAAATTAGCCAGGTGTGGTGGTGGGCACCTGTAAGCCCAGCTACTCGGGAGGCTGAGGCAGGAGAATTGCTTGAACTTGGGAGGTGAAGGTTGCAGTGAACCAAGATCACGCCACTACACTCCATCCTAGGCAACAAGAGTGAAACTGTCTTGGGGGGAAAAAAAAAGGCTGGTTGGGAGGCTGAGACAGGTGGATCACCTGAGGTTAGGAGTTCCAGACCAGCCTGGCCAACATAGTGAAATCCTGTCTCTACTAAAAACACAAAAATTACCCAGGCGTGGTGGCAGGCACTTGTAATCCCAGCTACTCAGGAGGCTGAGGCAGGAGAATCACTTGAACCCAGGAGGCAGAGGTAGGTTGCAGTGAGCCAAGATGACACCATTGCACTCCAGCCTGGGCAACAACAAGACTCTGTCTCAGAAACGAAAAATAAAAATAAAAAAAATAAAAAAGAGGCTGGGCAGATTCAGAGATACTCAGAAGTACATATTCTTTCTGGTATAGGTGGGGAAAAAAAAAACTTTAGTAGTATTCCAGGTATTCTTCAAACTTTCAACCAATGCTTCTCAAAATTTCAAGGGTACATCAGAATTACCTGAAAGACTTGTTAAAATCACATTGTCGAACCCCACCTCCAGAGTTTCTGATTCAGTAGGTCTAGGAGAGGGCCCAATAAATTGCTTTTCTTTGTTGTTGTTGTTGAGATTGAGTCTCGCTCTGTTGCTAGGCTGGAGTACAGTGGCGTGATCTCGGCTCACTACAACCTCCACCTCTTGGGTTCAAGGGAGTCTCCTGTCTCAGCCTCCTGAGCAGCTTAGACCACAGGCATGCGCCACCATGCCCAGCTAATTTTTGTATTTTTAGTAGAGACAGGGTTTCACCATGTTGGCCAGGATGGTCTCGATCTCTTGACCTTGTGATCCGCCCATCTTGGCCTCCTGAAGTGCTGGGATTATGGGCATGAGCCACCGTGCCTGGTCCAAGACTTTGCTTTCCTAACAAGTTCCCTACTGATGCTGATACCATTGGTCCCTGGATCACACTTTGAGATCTACTGCTCTAAGCCTCATTGGAGAAAGTAGAGGTAGATGTCCAGTAAGCAGAAGCTAGACATTAAAGTCCCCTTGATATCATGTCCTTTCATGTCTATAAAGCAATAAATTATTGTCACTTACCTATTATAATTAAAATACATAAATTTCCTAAATGTATACACAAAGCAAGATAACTCAAAGAGTTATATTTTTAAGACTTCAATTGGGGTCCAAAGTGGCTCCCGCCAGAGCTCATGGCGCTCGCGAAGGCGAGGTCATCAGTTCAAGGCTAACCTGAGCAACCTGATTAGCTCAAACTGATTGGCAAAAAAAAAAAAACAGACTTCAATTAAAACATCTCATATATAAAAATATTAAACCCAGCCCTGAATTAAACTAGGAGTACTCAATCTGATATTTAACCCAGATTAGTTTGAGTCTCAGAATTTAACTTCACACGTAAGAATTTTTCAGACTTAAAAACTTTTTAAAAAAGTTTTGCAGCAGAATAGAGGTATAATTTAATTACTCTTTTTTTTTTTTTAGGGAAATATGAAATCTGATGATGATCCTCCTGCTATTCCACCAAGACAGCCTCCTCCTCCAAAGGTAAAACCCAGAGTTCCTGTTCCTACTGGTGCATTTGATGGGCCTCTACATAGTCCACCTCCACCACCACCAAGAGATCCTCTTCCTGATACCCCTCCACCGGTTCCCCTTCGGCCTCCAGAACACTTTATAAACTGTCCAGTTAATCTTCAGCCACCTCCACTGGGGCATCTTCACAGAGATTCAGACTGGCTGAGAGACATTAGTACGTGTCCAAATTCACCAAGCACTCCTCCTAGCACACCCTCTCCAAGGGTACCACGTCGATGCTATGTGCTCAGTTCTAGTCAGAATAATCTTGTTCATCCTCCAGCTCCCCCTGTTCCACCAAGGCAGAATTCAAGCCCTCATCTGCCAAAACTGCCACCAAAGACTTACAAACGGGAGCTTTCGCACCCTCCATTGTACAGACTGCCTTTGCTAGAAAATGCAGAAACTCCCCAATGACCTTAGCCATATGTAGTCATTGACACTGGAATGGTATTTGTAAAGTTTTTTTTTAATTTATTCAAAAAAAGACTTAGTATTTTAGTACTTTTTACAAATAATGCTCTTACAAAAATGCTACTGATCAAATAAGCTTTTAAGAATTGGAAAAAAAATACAAAAGTCCTTCACCATTATCCTCAGGTGATCAGTAGCATTGCCTTGTCTTGGATCCTCAGTGCTGCCAAAAGGCCAGTATAAAGAATTTATATTTGCACTGTAAACTCTGCAAAAATATGACTTAAAGTGACATGATTGCACTGAAAAGGGATAGTGCTTTTGTGAAATTTTTCAAGTTTGAGTAATAGATGCCTTTTTAAGGCAGTGAATTTACACAAATATAGGAGGGGTATATGGTGTTACTGATTTTTAAACCTCTTTGACCATCTTCTAGTTTTTACTTCTAGTTTTTACATCTAGGAGAATTGTGAATAACACCAACTGTTCTTAAACTCTTTAATGCCATGTCTTAAATGCCGGTATTTGCTGCTGAAGACAAAAATGAAAAGTAGGATGAAAATAATAGAATGGCACTGTAAGTGTTTATTATTTTGTTAAAATGTAAACAAAGACTACACAACCCAATGATGGAGGAAAAAAGGGCATGTATCTCATTCAGATGTGCCTTTTGTTTTTGTAGACTATGGTGTCTTTAGCTAATGAATTGCCTATTGTTATGGAAAACAGTTATAATATGCCATGTATGTACAGTTTTGTTTATATTGTATATTGAAAGATACTGCTAATAACCTATATAAATTTAAGTGACTTAAGGCCTATAATACAATCTGCTACTTTACTAATTTTTAAATTCAAAAAAAATTCTGTGGCATAGGAACCAATTGCCTTGCCTTCAAGACCTAGTAACTTTCTCTATAAATCTCGTGTTAACTGAAATTTTTTTTAAATATATTTTTTAGATTGGTAATATTTAAACCAGCAAATATTTAAAGCTTTATTAATTGTTTTAATCAGATAAGTGAGGAAAACTTTTATTTGCCATTTGGATGCCATTGTTCAAAGTGATAAAGAGTGTTTTGCTGATAGTGCTGTAGCAGCAGTTGTAAAGTAGCCAAAAGCCACGTTGTTTATTTACTGGTCTGTGGCCTTTTACTGTGCTTTGTATCAGAGTTCTTAACAAGATTAATAAATCACCCTAGTCTTAATTTTTAAAACACTTTTAAAATATGTGTTTTCATTGTAAGGAACAAAGGGGGAGATTATTGAGTACTGTAGACACACACACACACACACGATATTAAAGGGATAATTTTTTTCTTCACTGTGAAATGTGAGCGGCAGGCTTCTAGCAACCACTTTTATGAATTCATTAAGAAAACTAGGAGTATGCTGGGAACTTGAAAAGGAAGATGGTAAGATTATAGTCTTATAGCCATCTTTGTTAGGATCTTGGAAGCTACTTGCATTTAGGCCTTGTAACTACTGTGTGAATCAAGTCTCCAACTAGGTAGACTCTGAGGTTGGCTTTGTTTTTCGTATGGAAAAGCGATGTAAACTGCCTCTTCGTTAAGCTAAACGTGTGATTTAGGGTAGAGGGAGGCTGCCAAGCGCTTGGGAGAAGCCGGGGGCCCCACGCTTGGCCCCGCCCAAGTAACGCTGCCTTCCGGACTTTGTTAACTTGCGCGCGCAGTGACGCCGACTCTGCCGCGGGGAGGGTCCGACCCCTCACAAGGAGGGGCCGCGCGCGTTGATGTGACGTTGCTGTGCGCGCCGTCCTCGTTGCCGGGCAGCGATGGCGGCTACTCCGGAGTCCTCGCTGGAGGACCCACTGCGGAGCTTTGTGCGAGTTTTGGAGAAGCGGGATGGTACGGTGCTACGACTACAGCAGTATGGCTCCGGCGGCGTGGGTTGCGTTGTTTGGGACGCTGCCATTGTCCTTTCTAAATACCTGGAAACTCCCGAGTTTTCTGGCGACGGGGCCCACGCGCTGAGCCGGCGGTCGGTGCTGGAGCTGGGTTCGGGCACCGGGGCCGTGGGGCTCATGGCCGCTACCCTCGGGTAAGAGCTGGCGGGCGGGCTGGGTATGGGGGCGCCTTCTTGCTGGGGAAATCCAGATTACAGGTTTCCCACCTTGTGCCTGCACCTCAGTCGACGTTATTTTATAGGGCTGATGTTGTAGTCACCGATCTTGAGGAATTGCAAGACTTACTGAAGATGAATATTAATATGAACAAGCATCTTGTCACTGGTTCTGTTCAAGCCAAGGTACTGAAATGGTTTGTATGGCCTTTCAGCTTCTTTTAAGATACCGATTTATAGTTTGCTTTAAATTGCGTTGCATTAAAGGGATGGAAGGGGACTCTCCTGTTCTTTATAAAAACGAGTATTCTGAATTATTAGAACAACAATTGAAATATTTGTTTGACATTTTTAAGGGGGGAAGAAATAGAAGACTTTCCTTCTCCACCCGACTACATACTGATGGCGGACTGCATATACTATGAAGAGGTAAGTATTCAGTGAGTGAAGTCTCTTCATTCAGAAGATAAACCATATTTTCTTGGATTCTAAAGCACACATTTCTTCACATTTTAACATCTGGGAATCTGGGATTTGCCTTATAGTTGATGCAGTAAAGAGAAGATAAAAGTCACCAGGGGCTATATGTGTATATATATATATATATATGTCATATACATATATACATCATTAACATTTAGGCCTGGTTAAGCATGTTGAGAAAAGTGTTATATGTCTTTTACTAGTGGCTTCTGTAAAAATTTGATAGGATTTTGCCCATTGGATGTTATGAAAAGCCAAAATCATCTTTTTCTTTTTTCTCTCCCACGGAGCATGTTAATCATGACATTGATAACTAAGTTGTAAAGAATTCATTGTTCTTTACATATCGGTTTGGGCCAGGCGAGGTGGCTCATGCTTGTAATCCCAGCACTTGGGAGGCCAAGGTGTGTGGATCACCTGAGGTCGGACGTTCGAGACCAGCCTGACCAACATGGAGAAACCCTGTCTCTACTAAAAATACAAAATTAGCCAGGCATGGTGGTGCATGCCAGTAATCCCAGCTATCCCGGAGGCTGAGGCAGGTGAATCACTTGAACCCAGGAGGTAGAGGTTGCAGTGAGCCAAGATGGCACTATTGCACTCCCGCCTGGGCAACAAGAGCAAAACTGTCTCCAAAAAAAAAAAAAAAAAAAAAAAAAAATATATATATATATATATCAGTTTATATAGTGTTGTGGGCATCACTTATTTAAAAATAATTAGCATTGAACCAAGTTAGGATCAGACTTAACTTTCATAGGGTAGATTGTTGATTATTTAAATCCCAAATTAGATTAAATAAAATTAAACAAGAGTAAAGTTGAAGTTGATGCCGTTTGTTTTCCTGTGGGAACTCCAAAATGCAGTTACTTAAATCCTTTTTCTGGAAACAAATCAGTACAATAGTGAAGAGGAGCTTACCCAGTCATTAGTTACAGAGGGTTTTTTGTTTGTTTTTGTTTTAAGATAGAGGTCTTGTTCTGTCACACATACTGTAGTGCAGTGGAGTGATCATAGCTCACTGTAACCTCGAGCTCCTGAGGCTCAAATCATCTTCCCATTCGGCCTCCTCAATAGCTAGGACTACAGGTGCGCACTAGCATGCTGGCTAATTTTAAAATTTTTTGTAAGGTGGGGAGGCAGTTCTTGCTATATTCTCCTGGCTGGTTTTGAATTCCTGGTTTCAAGTGATCTTTCCACCTCTGCCTTCCAAAGTGTTGCCATTACAGGTGTAAGCCACTGCACCTAGCCTAGAGCTTTAATTACATGTGCTTTGTTGGATTGATTCAAAGATGGATAAATTGTAGGGGAGCTATAAATACCCCTTCACCTCCTCAGCCCACTTTTAAAGTAGAAACATTTTTAAATCATAAACAAAAAATATATTCTTTCTTAAATAGTCTTTGGAGCCATTGCTGAAAACTCTAAAAGATATCAGTGGATTTGAGACTTGTATTATATGTTGTTATGAACAACGAACAATGGGAAAAAATCCAGAAATTGAGAAAAAATATTTTGAGGTAAGTATCAAGTGCTCTATTATCTTTGTAGTGATTTCCCTTCAGGGAGGCTGTATGTGACTCTTCAAGTATATTATGGTAATTTTGGGTGGGGAAAACATTCTGTTTGTATGAAGCTGAGGAAGGGATCTTCATAGCCCATGATTCTACCAAGCTCCCCTTTTCTGATACTTTATTTCATTTCTGATTAGTTGATCTTTAGCTACAGAAGAATGTTAAATAATACTGGTACCACTCCTTTTTAAGAACATTTCTCAGTGTTTACTGAACATGATACTGGCTTTGGGGAACATATTAATGTATTACCTTTGGAGAATACATGATAGAAATGTGCAGGTGATAAGTTGTATTTTTGTTTTGGGACAGGGTTTTTCCCTGTGGCCCATGCTGGAGTGCAGTGGCACAGTCAGGGCTCACTGCATCCTCAGCCTCCTGGGCTCAAGCAATCCTCCTGCCTCAGCACCCCCAAATAACGGGGACTTCAGGCATGTACCACCACACCTAGCTAACTTTTTGTATTTTTTTGTGTGTAGATGGGGTTTTCCCATGTTGCCAAGTGATACATTTTTACTTCTGTGTTTTTCTCTACATATTTATGAAACCTCCAACCTAAATACCTGTCTGTTTTTAAGGTCTTTTGTTGTTGTTATTCTGAAATAGAAAAGACTTACAGGAAGTTGCAAATATAGTACATAGGGTTTATATGTCTGTCACCTTTCTTTCCCTAGCAATAACCCAAACCTTTCTTTTTTTTTGAGATGGAGTCTCACTCTGTCACCCAAGCTAGAGTGCAGTGGCACAATCTCAGCTCACTGCAACCCCTGCCTCCTGGATTCAAGCGATTCTCCTGCCTCACCCTCCTGAGTAGCTGGGATTATAGGCACACGTCACCATAACTGGCTAATTTTTGTACTTTTAGTAGAGACAGGGTTTCACCATGTTGATCAGGCTGGTCTCGAACTCCTGACCTCATGATTCTCCCGCCTCGGCCTCCCAAAGTGCTGGGATTACAGGTGTGAGCCACCATGCCCAGCCACAAACCCTTTTTATGAGCACAAATCTATAGCATTGGAATGATTCCTTTTGAGGGTACATCTATATAGGCCTGCAGTTTTGTCTGCTCAAAGGACTACATTAGTTTAATGAGAAAGCATGTATATGACTGTCTCAGTTAACATACACTAAAAGTTTTCATGTTTTTCTTGATTATGAAAAACGTTCATGAACTTTTGAAATGATGCATAATGAAAATTTTGTACTTTTTTTTTTCTTGGATTTCCAAGGCCAAATTTTGTATTATTAAACAATTTTTATTGGGGTAAAGCATATGTAAAATGCATATGTATCAAATCAACTGCTGAGCTTAATTTTTCATGTGTATACACCCAAGTAACTACTTCCCAACATAAAGATAGAGGACATTTTCAGAATCTTGAAAGGTTTTCACATTGCCCTTTCCCAATCAGTATTCCTCAAAAGGTAACCACCAGCTGGACGCAGTGGTTCATGCCTGTAATCCTACCACTTTGGGAGGTCAAGACAGGCGGATCATGAGGTCAGGAGTTTGAGACCAGCCTGGCCAGTATGCTGAAACCCCCTATCTACTTAAAATACAAAAATTAGCTGGGCATGGTGTCGTGCCCTTAATCCCAGCTACTCTGGAGGCTGAGGCAGGAGAACTGCTTGAACCTAGAGAGGCGGAGGTGGCAGTGAGCCAAGATAGCACCACTGCACTTCAGCCTGGGTGACAGAGCGAAACTCTTGTCTCAAAAAAAAAAAAAAAAAAATGTAACCACCATTCTGAATTCTGTCCCCCACAGGTCAGTTCATATTGTTGAATTTGAAATATACCTTTTTTTAAATTTAAATTTATAGCTCCTTCAGCTAGACTTTGACTTTGAAAAAATTCCTTTGGAAAAACATGATGAAGAGTATCGAAGTGAAGATATTCATATTATATACATCAGAAAGAAAAAATCGGTAAATAACATTCTTAGTTCTTTATTCTCCAAGGAGGTTTCATCGGCTGTACACTATTTCAGGGCATATGTGTGGTATAGACATTGATGTGGAGAAACAGCTATGATTCACTGGACTCAGGCAGGCACTAACTTCAGTTTCAAGATCATTTAATCTAGCTTGCTTTGGATTTTTTGCTTTAAAATAAGCCAGGCTTTTCTCTCTTTTTTTTTTTTTTTAATTTTTTTTGTTTTTTGGTTTTTGTTTTTTGTTTTTTTATTTTGAGATGGAGTTTCGCTCTTGTTGCCCAGGCTGCAGTGCAATGGTGTGATCTTGGCTCCTCGAAACCTCTGACTACTGGGTTCAAGCAATTCTGCATCATCCTGAGTAGCTGGGATTACAGGTGTATGCCACCATACCCAGCTAATTTTTGTATTTTTAGTAGAGACAGGGTTTCTCCATGTTGGTCAGGCTGGTCTCGAATTCCCAACCTCAGGTGATCTGCCCACCTCAGCCTCCCAAAATGCTGGGATTACAGGTGTGAACAACAGCGCCCGGCCTTTTTTGTATTTTTTAAGTAGAGATGGATTTCACCACGTTGCCTAGACTGGTGTGGAACTCCTTGGCTCAAGTGATCCACCCACTTCAGCCTCCCAAAGTTCTGGGATTATAGGCATCAGCCACCATACCTGCCCAGGCTTCTCTTTCTCAGCTTTTCCATAGGCGTAAATTATATAGCTCTATAATTGGGTATTACCTCAGACAAGTGATTAGCTATTTATAAGTTTCTTTTATCTCTGTGAGATTTTAAAATGCCAGTTCTTAACTTTGTGAACTTTTCCTTATCATTTAAAATTTTTTACAGAAAATGAAATATAACAAGGCAAATGAGTCCATAAAAGAGAAATATACTCAATTAAGTAGAATTTATGTATGTTCCCCCTTCTTGGTGCATGTTTTACCTGGTATAACAATCACATTTTATGCAGGTTGCCTCAGTGACGCCTAGGGTTTGAGCCTATAGAAAAAGGGAAGAATTGTACTTCATCCTTTTTTTTGAAACAGGGTCTCACTCTGTCATCCTGGCTGGAGTATAGTGGTGCAATCTTGGCTCGCTGCAACCTCTGCGTCATGGGCTCAAGTGATCCTCTCACCTCAGCCTCCTGAATAGCTGGGACCATAGGCATGCACCACCATGCCCAGCTAATTTTTGTATTTTTTTTTTTTTTGTAGAGATGGGGTTTTACCATGTTGTCCAGGCTGGTCTTGCACTCCTGGACTCACGATCTGCCTGCCTCAGCCTCCCAAATCCTTGGGATTACAGGTGGGAGCCACCACACCTGGCCTTTCATCTATATTTATATTCCCAGCACCTTTGGTTTATATGACTAGTGTAAGGCAAGGAAATGATTACTTTTATGAATTAAGGATGCTAGATTCAATAAGCCCACACTTTTTCTATCATCTTTGCTTTGATTATGTTTGTGATACAGTTTTCTAATTATATAAATTCTAGTCAAAAGCAAATAAAACTTAGGTTTAGGAAACAAAAGTAGATGTTAGGACTGAATCTAAGTAAAAAGGCAGCAGTGGGATTATTAATTCAGATTAACATTTATATAGCACGGTGCTAGATATACAAAAAAACTTGTGCTTTAAGAGATCCAGTTTTAACTGAAGCTGTTGTGCAGTTTTAAAAGTATAATTTTTTGAGGCATAAAGATTTTGTGTTTCCTAAATATATATATATTTTTTTGGTCAAAAAAATGAGCATTCATTTACAAAGGCATTGTGGCACATGCCTGTAGCATACATAACTACGGGCATGCACCACAATGCCTTTTTAATTTTTGTCAAAAAAAAAAAAAAAAACAAACCTATTTAGTTGATGTAATTCACATACCATAAAATTCACCCTTTTAAGGTATACAGTTTGGTGTTTTTTCGCGTATTCACAGAGTTGTGTAAATCACCACTTCGTAATTTTAAACCATGTTATCACCTCCTCAAAGCCTCTTACCCATTATTAGTCACTCCCTGTTACCCCTGTCCCCAGCTGCTGGCAACCACTAATCTCTGGATTTGCCTATTCTGCACATGTCATGTAACAAGTCACATACTGTCTGGCCTCTTGTGTCTGTTGTCTTTCACTCAGCACAGTACTCTCAAGCCTCATCTACATTGTAGCACACATTAGCATTTAAATCCTTTTTGTGGCTGAATACTGTTCCTTTATGGCTGTACCACACTTTATCCATCCATTGATGAGATGAATAATGCTGCTATGGACATTCATGTAGAAGTTTTTGTGTGAACATGTTTTCAGACCTCTTAAATATATACCTAGAGGAATTGCAAGGTGATATAGGAACTCTGTTTAACTTTTTGAAGACTTGCCAAACTGTATTCCAAATCTACCATACCATTTTACATTCTCACCAGCAGTGTATGAGGGTTCCAGTTTCTCCACATCTTCACCAACACTTGTTAATTATAGCCATCTCAGTGGGTACTAGTCTCTCAACTGTGGTTTTCATTTCTCTAATGATGTATCTTTTCTCTATTTAGAAGAAACACTTGGCCCATTTTCAGATTGATTTTAACTTCTGAGTTGTGAGAGTTCTTTATACATTCTGAATACTAGATACCAGATGCATGATTTTTGAATACTTTTTCCCATTTTGTGGGTTGTCTTTTCATTTTCTTGGTAATGTATCTTTTATTAATTTATTATGTTCTTATTTTTCTTTTGAGACAGAATCTCACTCTGTCACCTAGACTGGAGTGCAGTGGCATGATCTTGGCTCACTGCAACCTCTGCCTCCAGGTTCAAGTAATTCTCATGTGTGAGCCTCCCAAGTAGTTGGGACTGTAGGCATGCACCACAATGTCTGGCTAATTTTGTTGTATTTTTAGTAGAGATTGGGTTTCACTGTGTTGGCCAGGCTGGTGTCAAACTTTTGGCCTCAAGTGATCTGCTGTCTTACTTCCCAAAGTGCTGGGATTACAGGTGTGAGCCACCACACCCAGCCTATGGTGTGTCTTTTGAAGCACAAATATTTTCATTTTGATAATGTCCAATGCATCTGTTCCTTCTTCATTTCCTTGTTAGGTGTCAGCAAAGAGTCATCTATAAACATGCATGGTTGTTCACTTGAATTGCATGTAGCCACTGTTAGGCATACTGTGCATTATTAAATACCCAGTAAATAATTTGTGGTAAATCAGTCTTTTAAGTTTCCTTTTTTTGTTATAGAAATTTCCATCATGAAGCCTTTAGTCATTTTACCCAAGCCTCTAACAACCTGGGTAAGCTAAAGATGTGAATGGAGCATGTGAATACAGCATGGGAAGATTGGTTCACAGATTTTTTCCAGCACATCCTTAGAGATCTGATGTATAGATGACAACCACCGTGGGCTGCCTGCAATATGAAAAATGCCTGCCTGCCTGCCTGCCAGTGGCCCTGAATCCAGCTTAGGTTACTTAGTTCAGCATCAAGTTCTGTTTAAAATAAATATTGGGAATCAGTTGTTCAAATAAAAATTGGTATTGAGGTGAGGCTAAAATCTGCCAAAAACAGTGAATCACCATGGTTGACTTGACTTTTTACAGGAAACTAGAGATAAATTTTTAAAGAGAACTATCTACTATTGTATAATAGTGTATTAAATTCAAACCGGTAAATTTTAGTTTGTCTTCAAAATTGTAAAGGTTTTCATTTTGTACATAATTATGCAGTATTTATCATTTGTATCTTCCATTTCATTTCTTTTAAAACGTCTTTAATACTTAAGTGTTCTTTTAATTTTAAAAAGAACTGAGATATTGTGTTGTCTACTTACATTGGCCAAAGTTCTGTTCTTTTTCTTGCAATAAATATCTATGTGATTTAATCAGTAAATTATACTGTAATGAGTTGCTCAGAAGACAAATCAGAATATTGGAGAAACAAAAGACATCTTTACAGATTTTTCATTTAAGTGGAGTGAGATTAGAAAGACCAGCTTAAGGCTTGAGTACTTACCTGGCTCATGCATGTTGCTTTATGTATATGTTCCAGGAAAATCTGGCTTAAAAATACTGGCATTAACTTGTTTACTTGAAACAGTGAAAGGTTTTTGAATAACTACAAATGTAGTTCTATATGTATATACCAAATGAATTTTTATTTTGTGTCTCTCTCTTTTATGTTATCATGAAGCCATTTGCTCTTATACAGTAATCTGTCAAGGACTTTAATCATACCTATTCCAAAGAGTAGTAACCGGATGGAATTCTGGTATTTACAGGTATTGGTGCTAGATGGTACATTTTATGTGTTAAAATAAACATTGTTTTTGAGACCCTGTGACTTTGTGAATTTCAGAAATACCTTTGAAGAAAGGGAACATCTAAATAAGTAACTGCTTTCCAGAAAGAGCAAAAGCAGCCCTATTTAGAGACATTAAGGTTAAAAGTCAAGAAAATAGTTCATTCAATCTTTAAAGTTTCCTTTGCTGGGTTTTTTTTTCTCTTTTCTCTAAAATACTTCATTCATACTGCCCTTAGCATTTTATTAAGCAGTTTACAAGGCAATGTAACCTAAATGTATGGTGCTTTGTGAGGTACAGATAGTGTTAGCTGTTATTAATGAGGTCTTAGGACAAATGACCACTTTTTAGCTTGTTTTATAACATGAAATTTGTAAAAATAAGTTTGACATTGACTATAGCAGTCCACCCAGGTGCGTCAAATGTCTTTTCACCCTCCTCCAATTTTTATGCCGTCTTGCTTTCTCTGTGTGTGTGTGTGTGTGTTTTTTTTTTTTTTTTTTTTTAGGCAGGGTTTTGCTCTGTTTCCCAGGCTGGAGTGCAGTAGTGCCACAGTCTTGGCTCACTGCAGTCTACTCTTTCCAGGCTCAGGGGATCCTGCCACCTCAACCTCCTTGGTAGCTGGAACTACAGGTGCACCGCCATGCCTGGCTAACTTTGCTGTAATTTTTGTAGAGACAGGGTTTCACCATATTGCCCAGGCTGGTCTCAAACTCCTGGACCCAAGTGATTTGCCCACCTTGGCCCCCCAAAGTACTGGGATTACAAGCCTTGAACTTACAAGCACCTGGCTCTGTCTTTTAATACATACTATCTGTGGGTCTTTGGCCTGAATTGCGCCTTGATTTTACTGTATAAAAGCCCAGCTCTTTTAGTTCAGAAAAATGAAACTTACACTCACATTTCCTGAAAGAATCAGGCTGAAGTTGGCCTCTATGCAGCTTTGCCAAAATTAGACTCTTGTTTGACTTCCTCCCCATTCCTGCCCTGCTATTCCCATTTTACTTACCATCTTGATAAATCATTTGCATACATTCCTCTCTATCTGCTTCTGGAAAACTCACATAAGTACTGACCGACTATAGAGGTAATTAGTAATTGAAAGTCAATGGGCCCCGTGTGGTGGCTGACACCTGTAGTCTCAGCACTTTGTGAGGATGAGGTAGGTGGATCTCCTGAGATCAGGAGTTGGAGACCAGCCTGGCCAACATGGTGAAACTGTCTGTACTAAAAATACAAAAATTAGCTGGGCATGGTGGCATGTGCCTGTAATCCCAGCTACTCCAGAGGCTGAGGCAGGAGAACCACTTGAAACCCTGAGGCAGAGGCTGCAGTGAGTCAAGATCATGCCACTGCACTCCAGCCCGGGCAACAGAGTGAGACTCTGTCTCAAAACAAAACAAAAAAATAAGGCCAAAACTGAAGTCATAAGGTACCAAGCGTCACATTCTAAGACCAGTGGTAGCTAGGACCAGTGAATGCCACAGGGCTTCCTGAAGGGCACCAGTTCAGAGAACATGCTCCATCACCAACCACTATTCCACAGACAACTGGGGAGCCCTGGAAGAGGTCCCCTTTTGGAGAAGTCCATTGTTGGGGAATGTCATTTACTCTCTTGGGCTTTTGAGTGTGGGGAGGTAACAGGTTGCACCTGCACTCACAAGTCTGGGTGAGGTCGCTCACCCCTATAATCCCAGCACTTTGGGAGGCCAAGGCGGGTGGATGACTTGAGCCCAGGAGTTTGAGACCAGTCTGGGCAGCACAGCAAGACCCTTTTTCTACAAAACATACAAAAAAAAATAGCTGGGAGTGGTGGTGTATGCATGTAGTCCCATCCATACCAGGGAGGCTAATGTGGCAGGTTCATCTGAGTCCAGGGAGGTCGAGACTGCATTGAGCCATGATTGCACCACTGCAATCCAGCTTGGGTGATAAGAGACCCTATCTCAAAAAACAACAACAACAACAACAAAAAAAAAAACACAGGAGGAAGGCTTGAGGAAGTAACTTGGGATTCAAGATGCTTGCAAGTATGGGAGACCAGCATTTCTCTTTCTGGTGGAATTTGTGTTTACCCACCAGCAGCAGGTTCCAAAGCATGGAGATAGAATTGGAGGAGTGATGTGGAAGGGAACTGTGAGGCTGAGGGGTAATGAAGATGCACCCTACCAGCCTGAGAAATGATGGGTGAGTTGAGGGCTAGAAGACTTCTGCAACAACATGAAGTGGGGCGGGGGACGTGGTTTAAAAGGCAAGTTTAACAGATGAGGGGATGCCTCTAGCTGGGGATCAGCCACAACATAGCCAATTCTCAAATCCCAAGGGACTGCTATGCCATGGTGTCTGGGCGAGTGTGCTTGCCTCTACACAACGGAGCCCATCAACCACTTACCAGAATGATAGCCAATTAGGGAAAGGGTGGAACCCCACAGTAAGGCAGTGTTTCTCAAACCAGGCTGCACCTGGAAAATTAAAAGCACGTAAAACCCATGCTCAGGCCCCATCCCAGTTTAATCAGAAGCATAGTATTTTTGTTAAGGGGCTCCAGATGGTCTTAATGTTGAGCCTTAAATTGAGAACTATTGCAACAAGGAAACCTCTTTTAGCGTCTATTTCCCAAGCAGAAGAGAGCAAAGAAAGAAGAAAGTATATAAAAAGCAAACCATCTGTGATTGGAGTGGGCCTATAGTACATACGGACAAAAACCCATTTTGAACCCGATATGGAATCTTGTATGAAAAAGGAGGTTTTAAAATAAACAGGACTGAGCTTTGGAAACTAAAATAGACTGTAAATATAGTCTGAAAATTTAGAGAACCTTTTCCAAGAAGGAAAAGACGATGCTACTCAAGAAGGAAGGGGGATTCGGCAGTTAAAAATGGTTGCAGGTTTACTCTCCAATGATTCGATTCTCTTCTGTACACTAGTTATAATTTTTGTGGGGGGGTACCAAATTTCTTTATTTGAAGGAATGGTACAAAGAACTTAAATGGATGTTTTGGTACAACTTACAGAAAGGGTAAAGGAAACCCCAATATGCATGCACTGCCTTGGTGACCAGGTAAGTCACCCCGTGGCTATGGGGAAATTAGCCTAAGGCTTAGCTTTCATTATCACCAGGGTGTGCTTGTCAAAGAGATATTCTGCCAAGCCAGACTGGGTTGCTCCCATCCTGCGCAAGTTGGTCACGTGGTCACCCAATTCTTTGATGGATTTCACATGCTCATTCAGGTAATGTGTCTCAATGAAGTCACACAAATGGGGGTCATTTTTGTCAGTGGCCAGTTTGTGCAGTTCCAGTAGTGACTCACATTTTTTTCCAAATGTTATGCACACTCCATCGCATTCAGCCCGCTCTCCCAGTCACCATGGTCCGGTTTCTTGATATTCTGAAGGAAGATGCGGCCGCCTCTTGGTTCTGCAGCTTCATCAGTTTTCTCCGCATGTTCCCTCTCCTCATGAGATTGGTGAAGAAAGTACTTGGCAAAGTTCTTCAAAGCCACATCATCGTGGTCAAAGTAGTAAGATATGGACAGGTAAACATAGGAGGCGTAGAGCTCCAGGTTGATCTGGCGGTTGATGACGACCTCTGAATCCTAGTGGTAGTTCTGGCGCACCTGTGAAGGTGATGCTGTAGTCATGGCGGCGGCGGCGGCGGCGGCTGCGCGGCGCTGGAGAGGCGGCGGGGGCCTTGGCGCGGTGTGGAGGTGACAAAGGACTGGCTGTGGGCGGCCAGCCGGGGTGGGGGATGAGCGCCAGGTTCCGTCCAAGCACTGTTGAAGCAGGAAACCGCGGCGACTCTCGGCGAAGAACGTCTCCACTAGTTATAATTTTAAACATCTTTAAAGGTTAAAAGTTTGCATAGCTTTGCACTTTAATCTGCTACAGTTTATAACCGAGGGTCCATGGATCAATGTTTCATAAAGTTGGAAATGAAATTAGGTGTTTTTTGTTTTTTTGAGACAGAGTCTCACTCTGTCGCCCAGGCTGGAGTGCAGTGGCGCGGTGTCAGCTCACTGCAACCTCTGCCTCCCCAGGTTCAAGCGATTCTCCTGCCTCAGTCTCCAGAGTAGCTGGGATTACAGGCGCCCGCCACCACACCTGGCTAATTTTTGTACTTTTAGTAGAGATGGGGTTTACCATGATAGGCTCTCTTGAACTCCTGACCTCAAGCAATCCACCCACCTCTGCATCCCAAAATGCTGGGATTACAGGCATGAGCCACCACCCCTGGCCTAGGTTATTTTTAATTAAGAGCTATTAATCCAGAATATTAGTGGAAATTTTTCTTACACAGCTTGTATTTTAATTTTTTCTTGCCCTTCTTGAAAATTTTCTTGTTAAATGATGCGAAATATGATATTACATCAGATTATAGGTATTTTAATTTGAAGAATAGTATGGGTTATAGAAACATCTGTTGTTCTAAAGGCCCCCTGTAGATGGCATTGCTTGACTTTGTCTTTAAATGTTTTATAGAAAGGAAGTTGTTAAAACAGAATCTACTTTGAAATGCAATCACGTTTTAAAGGTGAACAAAATTACATTAAAAAAACAAGCCTACCTTTTTTTTTTTTTTTTTTTTTTTTTTTTTTGAGACGGAGTTTCGCTCTTGTTACCCAGGCTGGAGTGCAATGGCGCAATCTCGGCTCACCGCAACCTCCGCCCCCTGGGTTCAGGCAATTCTCCTGCCTCAGCCTCCTGAGTAGCTGGGATTACAGGCACGCGCCACCGTACCCAGCTAACTTTTTGTAATTTTTAGTAGAGACGGGGTTTCACCATGTTGACCAGGATGGTCTCGATCTGTTGACCTCGTGATCCACCCGCCTCGGCCTCCCAAAGTGCTGGGATTACAGGCTTGAGCCACCGCGCCCGGCCAAGCCTACCTTTTATGATTTGCTTTCAGAAGATAACATGGGGTAAGTAAAGCAAGTTTTTTTCGTATAAAATTGTATTTGATTTCTTTCCATTTCTTTCTGATATACCTTTTGAATATCATTCATTATTATATTTCATAAAACATTTTCTCCACTATTGATATCTTCTGTGAAAAGACATATTGAAGAGGCTAAATTAGTTCAAGTGCTGTTCTGAAATTAAATTTACCTTGAAAGTACCTTTTACATGATCATGATTTTACATCTGAGACACTTAAAACTTCTCATTTTAATTAGTTTTTCAAAGCAATTTTTCTTTTCCAGTAGAGTAAGTAGTAGTTTTTACATCAGAAGGCTGAAGCTCCGTCTTTCGCTCCCACAGTCCTGGAGGCTCAGGCCAGGTATTTGACTTTTGGGTTTTCTTTTTTCTCAGGAAACATCAGGATTTGAAAGAGTTTTGATTCATTGATAATAAACATTTTAAGAGTAGAATATTCAGTTTTCATACCATAAAGACCTTCACTCTAATAGAAATATAGAAAGAAAAAAGACTGTTGCAATAATATCTTACTGAAAATTAATGGAAAAGTTAAGCTTTTACTTTCCATAATTTTGGGTAGGGAAGAAATAAATTCTCAAGCCATTTTCACTGGTTAAGTTTAAAGCATTATATATTTGGGGTTATTCAAGACATTGTCTGAAGTTCTTATGTGTTGGTGAAATTCTGTGAATATCTAGTGAGCCCCACCAACTGTGAGATACATTCTAAGTCACTGATTATTAATAACAAGATGCTATCATTTGCAAATGAGAAAATATGGTAGAGCAAATTATCTTCATGATAATATTGTGCTCACGTGCATTCTGAAAACAGTGGCAGCACAGAGGCCCTGAGACAAGATGATCTGGGTTTGAATCTCAGTACTGCCACTAGCTGACCTTGAAATTACTTAAACTCTGTGTGCCTCAGTTTCCTCATATGTAAAGTAAAGATCATAATAATAGCTATCATGGGTTGCCGTGGAGATTAAGTTAGTCTAATACGTGCAGTGTACTTAGGTACCTGGCACATAGTAAGTGTTCAATAAATGTGACTGTAGTTGAGGTGGAATTACAGGTAGGGACTTAGAAAATATGCATAAATGCAAGTCGATTTTATCTGTTGCAGTATGAAATCTGGGCATCTTTTTGAGAGTATAGGATGCATGTAAACATTCCTCCCCAGTCACCATGGGAATGGCAGCTGGGATGGGAGGAGGTTGAGAACATTGTTACACAGCATGTACTGTTATTTAAAAAAAAATAAGCAATTTTAGAAAAACAAGAATGAGGAAGAAAAATCTTTGTTCACTGTTAATTTTTACAGTTTGAAAGCAACTGCCATGAGCATTCAAAGGCCAATAGGGACAGAGCAAATCCTCGTTTCTAAATATGGGAGCCTGGGTTTGCTGGCTGGAGCTCCAAGATGAACATTCCACTGCCCTGGACCCTTACTCAGTTCTTCCTTCCATGATTCGTTGCTAAACCTGCAACCAGTTAGGTAGCAGGTCATTGAAGTACAGCAGAAAGTCATTTTTCTGAAGTCTGGGACTTGATCTATCTGCATAACAATATTTTCAGAGTTTAGATTTATTAACTCTAAAAGAGCAAAGTGACTTTAAAATACATTTGTAGCAGTTGCTTCTTGCCTAGATAATCTTTCACTGTGTTAACAAGTGAGTATGGCGGGATGCAGAACTTAACTGGTTCCTCAGGCTATATGGCCAGGAATGAGAGAACGGTGGATTGTATCTGTTTCTCCATCAGCCAGTGTCAAATGGCACATACACTTTACTTCAGAAGGGGTGGCTAATCTTTTGGCTTCCCTGGGCCACATTGGAAGAAGAAGAATTGCCTTTGGGCCACACATAAAATACAATAATGATGGCTGATGAGCTTAAGAAAAAAATTGCAAAAAAATCTCACAGTGTTTTAAGAAAGTTTACAAATTTGTGTTAGTCCACATTCAAACAGGTCCTGACCCATACACAGCCCATGAGCAGTGGGTTGGGCAAGCTTGCTTACTGCATTATATTACACTTGCAAGGCCTTTTTGTTTTCAGTTAAAGGAAAAGACGGTCATGAATACTAAATAGGTGGTCTTAATTTTTCAAGATCTTTATACATTACCTATAATACTGTAACTTATTTTGGTGAAGAATTAATTCACATTTTTCAATTTTCACAAGGTTGAAAACAATGATATTTCTTCCTCGCAAAGCAAAATTAAAATTTTTGTAAAAGAGCTTGCCTAAGGCCAGGTGCAGTGGCTCATGCCTGTAATTGCAGCACTTTGGGAGGCCTAGGCGGGTGGATCATGAGGTCAGGAATTGAAGACCAGCCTGTCCAATATAGTGAAACCCCGTCTCTACTAAAAATACAAAAATTAGCTGGGCATGGTGTCACAAGCCTGTAGCCCCTGGCTACTCAGGAGGCTGAGGCAGAAGAATTGCTTGAACCCAGGAGGCAGAGGTTGGAGTGAGCTGAGATAGTGCCATTGCACTCCAGCCTGGGTGACAGAGTGAGACTCTGTCTCAAAAAAAAGCTGGCCTAGATAGGCTTAAGCGTTTCAGTATTTAACAGATTCTTTTTGGGTTATTAGTGCTAATGAACTGTACCACTGACAGTCTTTTGATGGGTCAGTGCTTTTAAATACTTTTGGGTTTTTTGTTTTTATTTGTTTGAGGCAGTCTCACTTTGTCACCCAGCCTGGAGTGTAGTGGTGTGACCTTGGCTCACTGCAACCTCCACCTCCCAGGCTTGAGCGATCTTCCCACCTCAGCCTCCTGAGTACCTGGAATTACAGGCATGTGCCACTGTGCCTGACTAATTTTGTATTTTTTGTAGAGATGGGTTTTGGCCATGTTGCCTAAGCTGGTCTCAAACTCTTGAGCTCAAACAATCCTCCTGCTTTGCCCTCCCAAATTGCTGGGATAGCAGTGATAAGCTACCATACCTGGCCTTGAGTAATTTTTTAAAAGTTAACTTTTACTCAGATTTGTAAATCTACTGAAGTCCAGGCATTAACGGTGTTAGTTCCAGGTGCTCGTGTTGGCTCATGATTGACAAATCATTGCCAGAGTTTTACGTATACAGTACAAACAATCTCACGTATCTACATTCACTACTCAACCTTGTTCTTCTAAGGAATGTGTCCTGAAAACCTGCTCGTGCTGCATGCACAATACAGCTACAAATACAAGTTACTATTTTTTTATCCAAAGCTTAGATGAGAACCTTTACACTTGTGTTTAGAACGAGTGTAAATAATCTCGTGGCATATAATTCACTTAGAACAAAGGACTGGTTTCTTAAAGCACAAAAACAGGAAAAACAAGTTTCATACTCCCACAAGTAATAAATGTTTAACTAGAGAATATCTTTGGATTTCAGTGACATTTATGAACGTAGGTACAATCATGTACTTTTAAAATAGTTATTTTCTTTCTAAATCTTGTTACTAGGATTTTCTTTTCTTTTTTTTTCTTTCTTTTTTTTTTTTTTTTTTGAGGCAGTGTTTCACTCTGTTGCCCAGGCTAGAGTGCAGTGGCATGATCATGGCTCACTGCAGTCTCGACCTCCTGGACTCAAGTGGTCCTCCTGCCTCAGCCTCCCTGTAGCTGGGACTATAAACGACATGCCACTGTGCCTGGATAATTTTTTAAAAATTCTTTTTGTAGAGACGGGGTCTCACTATGTTGCCCAGGCTGGTTTTGAACTCCTGGGCTCAAGCAGTCATCCCACCTCGGCCTCTCAAAGTGCTGGGATTACAGGTGTAAGCCACTGCAGTGGATGATTTTTTTTTTTATTCTGTTGTTCAAAACTCCTTTTACTCTCAAGCACATATCTGACACCCACAGTCAGTCTGTTAGTCTCTTTCTCTGTGAAATGTCTGGTTGTTAACCTGAGGGTCCAAGGAACAGGAGAGGCAGAGTCTGGCTAGTAGTAACAGTGTTCCCAGTTAGAAGCTTCAGTTCAGTTCTAAGTCTGCCCACCTTCCCTTTACCCGCCCAAGCTTTAGGAGAAAACAGCTCACCTGATTACCACCTAATCCACCTGTATGTCCTTGGGCAAGTTAAACTCTGCATGTTACTCTGCCTTTCTGTAAAATGAGAACATCTACTGGATAACATTGTGGTGATGGTTAAACTAGATAATGTATGGGAACTGTCCTTAAGGAAGCAGTCTCCTGTCACTTGCTTTTATGTTCCAAACAGTTGTCTTCACCACCTCTTTTAGACTCTACCTTCATATAGGAAGAGAGAAGCCACAGGGGAAAATAATTGAGAGGTTGCTCTTATCAACAACAACAAAAATCCTGTAAGGCTTTAATGAGGCATAGGGCATTACTGGTTTGATACTTCCCAGCAGAGTGCAATACCAAAAGCAAAACCAAAGAAATAGTCCCCTTTGAAAACATGAAGCTCCCAATGCTGCAGACTAGTGAAGGCCACAGAGGGTGGGAGCAGAACTTACCAAAGAAGTTCCCAGAGACTGCTCAAAATACTGTGAAGTGGACAGCAAATGAAATATGGCTCGTTGCTGTTAAAAGTTTCTCCACAGTTGAAACTGAGGACCTATGTGTAAAGAGTCTGGAACAACACCTGACCTAAAAGATCCTCAACAGCAGGGAGGGAGAGCATCAGGATAAATAGCTGTTGCATGCTGGGCTTAATATTTAGGTGATGGGTTGATAGGTGCAGCAGACCACAACAGCACATACTTCTTATCTATGTAACAAACCTGTACATTCCACACATGTATCCCGGAACTTAAAATCCTCAACACATTTTAATTCTCTTCTCTCATTTTCAAATCCACTCTCAGTGACTTTTCTGAACATTCAACTCATCTATTCATTCCTTTAATTCAGCTGATAGGCACTGTGCTAGGTATCAGGGGTACACATGGGTACACATCAGTACTCTTTTAGATATTTGGGACAAATAATAAGATGCATTCCATACCTTTAAGCAGCTCTTGCATCCTTAATAAGAAGCATATGCAAAAAATAACTGCAACTCAGAGAAATGCAGTCATAAAGGCATAAGCTAGCTACAGTGGCAGTGCAAAAGAGAGTGTGGTAGCTTCTGCCTCAGTTGGTCAGGGAAGATTTCATGAGAGGGCCATTAAGTTAATTGTTGAAGGATGAATGGAAATCCACTGGACAGCCTGCCAGGTATTCTAGGCAAACACATGCAACAGTATCAAATATGATTTTGATGTGGCTCGCGCATAGGGCATATGGGTAGGCAGGAGGGCAGGGCAAGGACATGCAGAGTCCATGTTGTGTATTCAGGAGTGCACATGGATTCTGGAGGTGATGAGAGGATATTTCAATCCTTTAAACATGGAAGCCACTGGGCAAAATCATTTTAGAAAGATTATTCTGACAGCAAATTTGGAGAGTGGGTGGGAGAAGGGAAGACATGAGGCAAAGAGATCAGGAAGGAAGAATGAACAGGTAAGAGCTGTTGAGGAGCAGTGTGTGAACTCCGGCAGTGGCAGTAGGAATGGAGAGGAAGGAATGGAGAACCACTGTGGAGCTGGACTAAGCCAGATCGCGTAAGTCATGTAGGCGCCTGAGGAGCATCCTGATGGAGCCAGGGCCTCTACGGGCCTCATCCTACCCTTGTGCAGGTCAGAGTCCTTTTTCTTTAAAACACTTTTATTTTGAAAAGAGTTGTAATAACATTAATTTTATTAGAACTAGAGACTTTACTGTCATCTACCAGAAAATTGTCCTGTATATAAATCATGTAAGTTTGGAATCAACAGTTACAATTTTAATTTTTTTTAACTTCAAAACAATGATGTCTGCAATGTGGTGTCCCCTTTCTTCGCTGTACCCAGCCTGAGTGGCAACATGCTGCGACCCTAGTTACATGTATGGAATAGGCAGCTAAACACCAGCGGCCCTCTGCTTATGCGAGTTCCATGGGTTTCAACCAAATGCAGATTGAAAATATTCAGAAAAAAAAAATGGATGGTTGTGTGTGTACTGAACATGGACAGATCTTTTCTTGTCATTGTTCCCTACACAAGACGATATAACAGCTATTTATGTAACATTTACATTGTATTAGGTATTATGAGTAATCTAGAATGATCTAAACTACGCAGGAGTTGGGCCTGGGCGGAGAGGGCGAGCGCATAGCAAATGGAGGCTGGGCCTAATCCCTAAGGGATGGGTTGATCTGTGCAGCAAACCACCATGGCACACGTTTACCTATGCAACAGACCTGCAAATCCTGCACATGTACTGAAATTAAGAGTTGAAGATTAAAAGAAAAATTCAGTCGAATAAAAAATAATAAAGTATATGGGAGGATGTGTGTAGATTATATGCAAATACTACACTGTTTTACATTAAGGACTTGAACATCTGTGGATTTTGGTATCTGGGGGGGTCCTGGAATCAATTCCACATGGATACTAAGGGAGACTGTATATGGGTTTGAGGGCAGAAGAGAGGGAGTATAGAGCACCCCAAATGGGGAAAAACCTCTGGGAAGTACGAAAATTCAAGGAATAATTGGGAAAAAACAGAACACTTAAAGGTGAAATCTTGAAATGTCTTCTGCCTTCACCTCAGTAACAGTTCTCAGACAGGTTGATGGTCATATAGCTGCCATTTTTGTACTTCATACACTGAGACTTCCAACCTGCCTTTCATGTGCCGGGATTAGATTTTATGCATCTGCCCCCAAGTCAGCACGGTGATGCTGCCTGCTGGTCAACAACTTTCTGCAGCAGTGCCATCTTTGCACCGCAGTACTTGGGCAGCTGTTTTAATGCCTGACCCTTGTTCTAAAAAAATGAGAGAAGACCCTTACATCAATATGTTGTTACTAATGATAAGGAACTCAGGTCTCAAATGAATACAACTTAGGATGGAAGCCACTGGTGTTCAGAAAGCAGTACATCTTTTAGCCTCAATAACTACTCATTTTCACAAGTGAAAAGAAATAAGGAAAATGTGAGTATAGAACCAATATTGGAAATATTATTGAACATGGGGGTCTATTTCTTTTTCCTTTTGATGCTGGAAGCTTCCTCATATTTGACTTAAGTAGGTCTGACTTTCTCTGTCCACCCAGCATCTGGTTGTGCCTCAGTCACCATCCTTCATTCCTTTTCCTTCTCAGTCGCTTAAATCACAATTCCTTGGGGCTCTGTCTTTTGACCGCTTATCTCTATACAGATAGATCTTGCAATTTCCATGATTCCCACTACAAGCTTATTGTAGAGGCCCCCTCTCTAGACCTCTGGCTCTGACCCCTCTCTTAAATCTGACCTCTCCCCTTCGGCTGCCTGCCTGACATCTTCCTTTGCTTGCCCAACCAAGAGTATGTCCTAGCAAAATTTCTGCAAAAATAAACTCTTCTGCCTCATATTCTTGTTTTACTAATGGCATCACCATTCTTTTAGCATTTCTAGTTTCTTCTGCTGCACCTGAAATCAGCATATCATACACTGATGTACCTGTGATGGATTCTTTCACAGTCTTCTTCCACTTTCCATCTTTACTGCCATCGCCTCAGGTTGGGCCTCACTACCTCTAAATGATGCTCCTCTAATAGTCTCCCCATCTTCAATATCTCTCTACACTTATCTGTGCAGAAAGTGGTAGCAGAGCGTACTTCTAACCTTGAGTTCCAAACTTTTTATCATGCTACTCCCGATAGCCCGCCACATTCAGGAGAGACTTGGGTTTCCTGACCCAGGCTAACCCACAGGATCCCCCCCGGATAAGAGGCCCTTCTTTACTGGGGTAGCTAGTACCGGCGATAAAGTAAGTTTTGAGCTGCCCAAGAGTAAAAGTCAAGACAGGAAAGCAAAGTCTAGAAGCGAACAGATAAATTAGAGCACTTTTGAGCGTCTGAAGCCACCTAGGTCTAAAGCTGCTGCAGCCCCTGGACTTCCTAGTTACCTAACCTAGTTAACTCTGTTCTGCTGGTTTAGGGCTGGGTTTCCCTCCCTTGCAGTGGATCAAATCCTAACTGGTAGAGCATTCAAACCTTTCAGCCCATCCAACCCTACCCTTAAGATGCTTCTCAATCATTATCTTCCCAGGAAGTGGAGTGCGTTTTAAGTTTGCGTTTTGTCCACCCAGCAGATCACCTCAACAGTTGATTTAGAAGCTTTCTAGAATAGTGTGGGTTGCTGCTCATACTGTGGAGATCTTAAGTTATCAAACTACAAAAGTAAGTGTTATGAAACTCATCAGAAAGTAAAACTGAAGAAACTATAAAGCCTGTTGTAGGAGTGGTTTGATTTAAATGTAACAAATGAGGAAATTCACTTCTTTGCACCCAGAAAGTGTTCAAGCTTGGACCTCTCCATCCCCCCATTGAGGGATTATTTAGTGAGAATAACCCGTATGATTATGGGGGTCCCTGAGAAGTGGAGGGCGAGTTGCAGCATGTATTAGGAGAGGTACTTGGGCAGTGAGGTTTGCCGAGCAAGTGCTTTTGTTGTTGTCGTTGCTTTTTGGTTGTTTTCTTGTTTTTTAAAATTTATTAAAACAAAACAAAACAAAAAACAAAAAATGGGTCTTGCTACATTGCCCAGGCTGGTCTTGAACTTCTGGGCTCAAGTGATTCTCCTGCCTCAGTCTCCTAAAGTGCAGGGACTACCGGCATGAACCACTGCACCTGGCCAGGAGAGCAAGTTTTAAAACAGGTCAGGTGCCGTAGCTTATGCTTGTTGTAATCCCAGTATTTTGGGAGGCCAAGGCAGAAGGATCATTTGAGACCAGACTGGACAATGTAGTGAGACCTTGTCGCTACTAAAAATAAATGTCAAAAAATTAGCCTGGTGTGGTGGCATATACCTGTAATCCCAGCTACTCAAGAGGCTGCGGTGGGGGGATTTCGTAAGCCCGGGAGATGAGGCAGCAGTCAGCTATGATAGCACTACTGCACTCCAACCTTGGCGAAAGAGCATAAAAAAAAAAGTTTTAAAACTGAAGGTGCTTTTTTGTTGCTTTTCTCTTGGATTATGGGGAAAGCCACATTCAGAGTGGAGTTTTAATATTTTTCCTTTTCTGTTGTATTTCCCTTTAGTTACCCAGACTTCAGGAAAATCTGACACTTGGGTACTGCTTATATGTGGTGGCAGAAAGTGAAGAGAGAGGCCAGTATAGGACACATGCCTGCCCCACATTCACTTAATGTTCCCAGAGTAGAGTTGTAGGTTGATCTTAAAGGCAGCTTTGATGATTGACAGATGATCAGCTGCAGTTGTAGAAGAATTAAATCGCCAGTTTATATATAAGAAGCCAGGTTAAATGTTGGGCTGCGTATGGGTGGGCTTCAGACTCAAAAATGAATAGAAGTGCCAGCCGGGCATGGTGCTCATGCATCATGGTGAAATCCCCGTCTCCACTAAAAAACACAGAAATTAGCGAGGCATGGGAGCATGAGTTTGTAATCCCAGCTACTCGGGAGGTTGAAGCAGAAGAATCTCTTGAACCCAGGAGGTGGAGGTTTCAGTGAGACGAGATCTTGCCGCTACACACCAGCCTAGGCAACAGAGGGAGACTGCATCTCAAAAAAAAAAAGTGATAGAAGTACTGTCCCATTGATCTTACCTAATGTGATCAGGGATAACACAGTATCCAAGCTTCTCCTGACACCTAGCAATTCAGAGCTGTGCATTTAGATAAAATCTCTGTCCAGCCCTGTGAAATATGAGCAGAGGAGCAGAGGGGTGTGTGTGTGTGTGTGTGTGTGTGTGTGTGTGAAAGAGAGAGACAGAGACAGAAAAGGTGAAGGTTATTAGTAGTAGGTTTTGGTAATTATTGGTAAAAGGCTGGAGGGGAATCTGTGACTTTATTTTTTTACCAGTGTCTCCAGAGCACCGGCATAACTTTCCAGATAGTCTTGAAAAATTAACTGTTATTCCGCAACAACAACAAAAAAGCATCCTTTCCCATACTCTCATGAAGTTCGTGGCAACAAGAGTGGGATTCTATAAAGAGCCCAGGGTTTTCCTGTTTAGCCGCCCCTGGTCAGGAGCTCGTGTGTGATTCTCCCAGAGACACTTCTCCAACCACAGGACATTTCCCTGGACTCTGATTCGTCCATGAGTCCTCAGAATATTTTGCTACCATCTTTCGAAATAATCCATGCTAAGTATTGATCATGATTAGGAGTGTGGCGACACAGACCCCCTCAGGTGACCCTGTCTCTCTCCTGATTGAAGATCTGCCTCAGCATTACTTGGTGGGGACTTTCCAGACCAACAGAAGCTGGAGGGAAAAGGCTGCGCTCCTGCCTCTGCTGCTGACTGGCTGTGCGTTCTGAGCCAGGTCCCTCGGTCTGAGTTTGTTTTTTCACCTGTGAGACAGGGATGATGATAGTGGTGGTGGTGACATTTGGGTTTTTTAATTTTTAGAATTTATTTTGAGACAGAGTTTCCTCTCTGATCTCAGCTCACTTCCACCTCTGCCTCCCAGATTCAAGTGATTCTCATGCCTCAGCCTCCCGAGTAGCTGGCATTACAGGTGCGCGCCACTACACCTGGCTGATTTTTATATTTTTAGTACAATTGGGGTTTGGCCATGTCGGTCAATCTGGTCTAGAGCCCCTGACCTCAGGTGATCCACCCATCTCGGCCTCCCAAAGTGCTGGGATTACAGGCATGAGCCACCACTCCCGGCCTGGTGGTGACATTTGTTATGTTCACCCATGGAGGTCTTAGGGTTCTTGAACGGTAAGATGGATGTCAGAGCCAAATGCCAACTTGAAATCTGGATGGAAATGTGAGTTCCTGTGGGTATTTCTTATGGCTTACAAATGGCTTGATTCCTTTTTTCCCCTTCTCTGCAGCATACTGCATTTGAAATGAATAAATGGGGCTCCTGGACTGCTAGCTACATTTGCTTACAGCAGCTGTCTGCTGATCTACTGAGTCTCTGCATGAGCAGAGTTCTCAACCCACACTGCATGGCAGGGGGTGGAGATAGACTATGGACGCGCTCCCCTCGGTCTCCCAGGCTGGCTTCCTTTCAGGCCCTAGCTAATCCTGGACCATATCTTATCTATCTTCTCCCCTCACACTTTCTCTTCACAGAGGGTGAACCGAGACAAGGATTCACCATCTCTCCTTATCTGCATCTGGCAGGCTAGGCCATGTGCCAGGTGCTCTGGGTGCCAGCTGCCCATCGTTATGTAGAGGAGCTAGTTCCTGAAGGGAGTGGCTACTATAGGACAGAGCCTGGGACATGCCAAGTATTTGATACCCATTATTATTACTCTTCTTACTGGAGCATAGAGGAGTGACCTGGTTTTTGCAACTGTTTTCCTTTGATTCCTTCAACCTATCAAATGAAACAACTCCTCAGCTCAATATTCTGATTTCATTGTTCCTAAAATAATTTAGGGTTGTAGATCTTCCCAGGTAGGCTATAAATGCTGTTTTTGTCTGTGGGAGCTCCAGGACCTGAATGAAAGCAGCCCAGCCCGTGGGCTCTGCTGTGGAGGATCAGGCAGCATTCAACATTGGGCTTCCAGGGTGCCAAGGCCTCACAAACCTGGTCCCTGGGACAGGGCTCCCTCCAAGCCCGAGCCTCAGGGGAAGGCTCAGCAGTCACAGCCCACCAGTGCTTCCTCTCAGCTACCAACGCTGATCAGAGTGGGAAGTGCTGCTGCTGCTGCCTGGAGAGGCACAGCCCTGACGGTTACGGAAGACAGTGGGCAGACTGTGGAAAATCACCCAGAGATTGCTGCTGACAACTTCATGTCTTCAGAACATCACCCCTCTGTTTATAGCTGGAGAGAGGGGCGCCCAGCCAGAGAAAGCCAGGAACAGGTTCCGGCTTCCATCACTCAGGTACTCAGGAACCCCTGGGTACTCCACACTGACTCACACTGAGCTGAGCTGTCCATGGCACCAACCCGTTTGTCCACTGCTACTTCCTCCCTCCAGGGACACTGTCCAAATTGAACAATAGAGGATCCCATATGTTCACCACAGGCATCATTTTGTGTAAGTCCCAGTTGTGGCCCAGGGTCGGTCCTTGCACTGTACTATAACTTACCTAGGACTTTATCTGCATTCACATAAGCACTAGGGGTCAGGAAGCTGTTACTCCAGTCCCTGGGGGCCTCTCTCCAGATGCCTGCATTTTAAAGACTCTTCTGTTTGTCTACAGTGTAGCTCTATTGACTGTTTTTTGTCTATTTTATCTCGCAGATTCCATGGCCACCTCCTTTAAGGCAAAAACAGGACCCAGCACCGTGGCTCACACCTGTAATCCCACCACTTTGGGAGGCCGAGGTGGGCGGATCACAAGGTCAAGAGATCAAGACCATCCTGGCTAAAATGGTGAAACCACATCTCTACTAAAAATACAAAAATTAGCCGGCTATGGTGGCACGCGCCTGTAGTCCCAGCTACTCAGGAGGCTGAGGCGGAAGAATCGCTTGAACCCAGGAGGCGGAAGTTGCAGTGAGCCAAGATTGCCCCACTGTACTCCAGCCTGGTGACAGAGCAAGACTCCGTCTAAAAAAAAAACAAACAAAAAGAGACAAGAATGGCATCTTCTTTGCATCTTGCACCATCCTTGCACTTACTGCTTGGGAATATTTGACTATCCCGTTCCATAATTAATCCAATCCACCTGTCTTTCCTCGAACACCTACAATATGAGCACCAGATTCTTTTACAGGGAATACAAAAATGAGTAGACATGAATGGAGAGTGGGGCAAAAGAGTGGAAAAGGAGTAGTAGCTTATTTCCTAAAGTTTGGTGTGAAATAGGAGAGGGACAGGGTGGAGAGGCTTGTAGAAGTGCATGGGGAGGGGAGCTTGTGGTTGAAGATAAACAGGGGTGACTAGGGGGTGGATAATTGATGGAACGAGGGGTGGAGGATCCTGGAGGGAAGGAATGGGAACCTGAGCACAGGCAGATTGATTGTGGAAAAAAAGTCACCTTTTCATCAAGACTAATGGAAGGAGGGAGGGAAGTGAAGGTGGGGAGGGAAGGGAGATGTAGCAAAATTTGGACACAGATGTAAAAGAAAAGGGCTTGCCCTAATGTCCGCAGGTTGTCACTACTGAATGAAGGAGCGGATGTGAGCCCCAATATTAAAGCGCCAAAGCTGACAAGGATCCATTGCTGGGATGATTGGAGGTGGCATCTGTGACTCAGAAATGGCCATGTGGCTTGACTGGGGGAGGTCAAGGGAAAAGGAGGGGAAAGGAGAGCAAAGCTGGGGAAACAGGAATTCTCTCTAGGGCCATCTTTCCTTCCCTCTCTCATCCATACCCCATGTATCAGGATCCTGAGGCCCATCTGTCCTTCCCCAAGTTCTGAAGTTCTCTCCTTCCCTCATGGTGTGCTTTGCTGGCTAAGTAACCACTTGCTGTGACTGGTTCAGTAGCTGCTCCTGGTTCTGTGTGCTTTCCTCTCTCGGGTACCAGTGCGATTTTCTTAGAAGATGGGAGAGGTGCAGTTAGCCTTTGGTTCACATAGTCTGTTCACTTTGTTATTGCAGCCCTAACAAACTAAGATGATAACCTTACAGCTGTATTTTAAAGGAATGAGATATTAGCAGGGTGTGGTGGCACATGCCTGTAATCCCAGCTACTCAGGAGGCTGAGGCACGAGAATCACTTGAACCTGGGAGGCAAAGGTTGCCGTGAGCCAAGATTGTACCACTGAGCTCCAGCCCGGGCAACAGACTCTGTCTCAAATAAATAAAATTAAAAATTAAAAGTATGAGATGTATTTATTTCATCAGCATTTTAAGGATTGTTTGCTATGTCAAATACTGAATTATAGAGTAGTTTAGACTCTATAACCGTCTCATAAATATATTCAAGAAGAAGGTATTTACTTCACAAAAGACTTAACGTTAAACATTTATTCAAATTTATCTACTCTTATCATGAAAAATATTTTCTAAAACAAGGTTTTGTTAACTTTGACAGAGTAGTCATTAATTTCCAGCAAACATGGCTGCTTTCCTGTTGGCACATGGGATTAAATTATCCTCTGTAAAGGGACTGGTGTTTTGGGACATGGGATATTGTCTTAACCTGGGCAGCTATAACACATATACTCCAGACTGGGTGTCTTAGACCAGGGGTCCCCAACCCTTGGGCCGAGAACTGCTACTCATCCGTGGCCTATTAGGACCTGCCCTGCAGCACTTCAGTGGGCCCTGCCTCCTGTCAGATCAGCAGCCGAGTCATATTCTCATAGGAGCGCAAACTCCATTGTGAACTGTGCATGTGAAGGATCTAGGTCGCCTGCTCCTTATGAGCCTTTAATGCCACCACCAGTCTGTGGAAAAATTGTCTTCCACAAAACTAGTGGCAAAAAGGTTGGAAACTGCTGACTTAGACAACAGAAATTTCGTTGTTAACTTTTTCACAGTTCGTGAGGCTGGAAAGCCCAAGATGAAGGTGCCTGCAAATCTGGTGTCTAGCGTGGGCCCTATTCCTGGTTTACAGCAGGGCGTGTAATTGCTGTGTCCTCACTTGGCAGAGAGAGGAGAGAGAGCAAGCTCCTGTGTCTTTTTTTTTTTGAGACAGAGTCTGGCTCTGTCACCCAGGCTGGAGTGCAGTGGTGTGATCTCGGCTTACCACAACCTCCAACTCCCGGGTTCAGGCAATTCTCCTGAGTAGCTAGGACTACAGGCATGCACCACCATGCCCAGCTTATTTTTTTTGTATTTTTAGTAGAGACAAGGTTTCACCATGTTAGGCAGGATGGTCTTGACATCCTGACCTCATGATCTGCCCACCTCGGCCTCCCAAAGTGCTGGGATTACAGCATGAACCACTGCACCCAGCCTCCTGTGTCTTTTTATAAGGGGACTGATACCATTGAAGAGCACCTCCCAAAGACCCTGCCTCCTAATACCATCACACTGGAGGTTAGGATTTTAACATAGGAATTCTGGGGAGGCCACAAAAATTCGGTGCATACCAAGTGCCTATAACAGAAATTCCTATCTCACTCTGAGTGCACACCACACAGTGTGCTAGACATCACTCCCAAATGTCATCCCCTGAATTGTCACAACAGGCTTAGGAGATGGGCAGGTATCCCATGGCACATACAAGAATATCAGAACTTAAAGTGGTTAAATAACTGTCTGCAGTTACAGAGCTAATCACTAGGAAGAACGCTCCCTAATTCTGACAGACCAGGTGTAGACCTCAGCTCTGCTGCATCCTAGCAGTGTGACCTCAGCAGGCAGCTTAACTTCTCTCAACCTCAGTTTCTTCATTTGTAAAGTGGAGACAAGGTACTATGCACCTCATGGGGTTGTTGGACAGATTAAAATGAGATAATGAATCTTTTTGGCACAAAGCCTGGCAAATATAAAGTCCTCTAATGTTAGCTATTACTACTGCTTTAAGAAATATGGTAAGGGTTGGGCATGGTGGCACACGCCTGTAATAACAGCACTTTTGGAGGCCGAGGCGGGCAGATTACAAGGTCAGGAGTTCGAGACCAGCCTGACCAACGTGGTGAAACCCCATCTCTACTAAAAATACAAAAAAATTAGCCAGTCATGGTGGTGCCTGTAATCCCAGCTACTTTGGAGGCTGAGGCAAGAGAATCACTTGAACTTGGGAGGCAGAGGTTGCAGTGAGCCAAGATTGTGCCACTGTGATCCAGCCTGGGAGACAGACCAAGACTCTGTCTCAAAAAAATAAAAAGAAATATGGTAAGTAAAAATATGATCAGAAATTCTATAGCAGTGTTTACAAAGAGCTTTCTGTTTTGTCTGATGAGGAAACTGAGGCTGAAAGAAATTGAGTGACTCAATTGGGCCCCCCCAGCCAGTAAGCAGTGGGAAGGGGACTCAATCCAGCTTTCTGGCTTCCAGCAGGACAGGGCTGCAGACTTCTAACAGGTGCTCCACTAGTCAATGTCCTTGAAATAGTGAAAGCTCCTGTCTCAGCCTAAAAGTCATGTCTGTGTGTGAGTTTACTATGGAGGAGGGAAATAGCTCAAAGACTCTCTCTCTCTTTTTTTTTTTAAAGACAGGGTTTTACCATGTTGGTCAGGCTGGTCTTGAACTCGTGATCTCAGATGATCTGCCCGCCTTGGCCTCCAAATTGCTTGGATTATAGGCATGAGCCACCACGCCTGGCCGGCTCAAAGACTCTTACCCTGTTGTGTAAAGTTCTTTTTGCTTTACATCTCTGCTAGTCAGGGTTCCCCAAAGAAACAGAAACAATAGGATGTGCAGAGAGAGAGAGAGAAATTGATTTTAAGGAGTTGGCTCATGTGACGGAGGCTGGTAAGTCCCAAATTTTACAGGGTGGGCCAACAGCTGAAGACTCAGTGAAGAGCTAATGTCACAGTTGAGGTCTGAAGGCTGTTTGCCAGCAGATTCCTTGTTGCTCAGGAGTGGTCAGCCTTCTGTTCTATTCAGGCCTTCAGATGATTGGTGAGGCTTAGCAGACGTAATGGAGGGCCATCTGCTTTACTGAAACTCAACCAGTTTAAATGCTAATGTCATCTAAAAACACCTTCACCAGGAACACCCACAATAATGTTTGACCAAATATCTGGGCACTCTGGCCCAGCCAAATTGACATGAAAAATTAACTGTCAGGACATCTTTGCCTAGCTCCATCAAGAATTTGCTGAGAGCTATTATGCAGGGTACTGACCTTAACTCCCACTCCCCAAATGCCCTGGAAAGATGAAAAAGTGCTGTAGGATAAGGTTGAGTCTTTGAACCCAAACCCTCCCATCATTTTTTTTTTGGGGGGGATGGAGTCTCTTTCTGTCGCCCAGGCTGGAGTGCAGTGGTGTGATCTCAGCTCACTGCAACCTCCACCTCCCAAGTTCAGAGGGTTCTCCTGCTTCAGCCTCCCGAGTAGCTGGGACTACAGGTGCCCACCACCACGCCTGGCTAATCTTTTGTGTTTTTAGTAGAGACAGGGTTTCACCGTGTTAGCCAGGATGGTCTCCATCTCCTGACCTCGTGATTCACCCACCTCATCCTCCCAAAGTGCTGGGATTACAGGCATAAGCCACCGCACCCAGCCCCTTTTTCTTTCTTTCAGGAGAATCCTGTTAATGAAGCAGTTTACTTTCTTTCATTTTCAGTGCATCCACTTGTGGTAGCAGGCTGGTAGGACTGTAGGTGAACCTTTATTTTTTTCTTTCCTCATTTCTTTTGACATGGTGATAATGTTTTACTTTTGTCTTAACTACCAGCTTGCCTGCAACTAAGGGAACCAGGGCGGGAGAGTGTCTTTCTAATCTTCTCTTTAATTATGGTACTTGTTTAAGATTAGCTAAGCCTGGCTCATTTTTAAGTCAATTTTATTGAGGTAGAACTGCTGATTGCAAAAATAGGTTTTAAAAATATTCCATATCTGTATAGAAATGGTAGAAAACTAAAAGCTCTGGAGGCTGAGGCAAGAGAATCGCTTGAACCCGGGAGGTGGAGGATGAGGTGAGCCAAGATTGTACCATTGCACTCCAGCCTGAGCAACAAAAGCGAAACTTTGTCTAAACAACGACAACAAAACCTAAAAGCTAAATTCTGTGTAAACTGAAATAGCACCATCTTGAATGTCAGGGAAAGGACATACTTTGGAAACTGGTCTTCATGGTGGTGTGCCTAAAGCGCAGGGCAAAATTTAGCCTTTTTTTTTTTTTTTAAAGGCTTATCAAGTGAAGCGGGGGAGTTGAGAAGGAATAAGGACATCTGTACCTGGTTGTGATCAGTTAGCTGTAAACACTACTGCAGTCGGACCGGCCAAAAATCAGCCTCTCAAGTGTTAAAACGATAAAACCAAAAGCATGAGGCAACAGCTTTGTGAACGTTTTAAAATTACCGCCAGTCATTTAAATTTAAATAATTTAATTTAATTATTAGGTAATTGCCAAGGTCAGTGAGCAGAAATTCTCACCCAGTAACCAATGCAAATAATAATCCTATTGGAATACTCAGCTGGCCAGATATCTGAAGTGTAGCAATGGGAAGGACTCTAATGAATAAACTGACCACCTTCTCTTTATATGGCACTCTGTTTTGAAAGGTCTTTCAGTGCTACTCATTTTGTTTATTTGATCCTTACAAACACTTGATGCCATAGGGCAGCCAGATATCTTTCTCCCCATTAAGACTGAGAGAGGTTCAAGGTCATGTCACTGCAAAGTGCAGGGAACAGAACAGAAAGAGCTCATCTTTCCTCTGCATCATAATCAGCCCAAGGTCTTTGTTGGGTGCCCGAGACTCACCTCCAGGGCCCAGGGGTGGGTGGAAGAGAATGATGGACAGAATCATTATAGAAGAGAATTATGGCCATTCTTGCAATTGGCCCATCTCAAAGAAAAAGGGAGTTTAATCAAAGTGGTATTGCCATTTTGAGTTAGAGATTTCAGGTGATATAAATGTGCAGGCCTGCATATTTATGCCCAGAACTAGTAAAGACAGAAGGAAAAAAAGAGAGGGGATGAACACTTTAACAGGATTTAAATATTACTGCCTTTTTCACAAACAGCGACAAAAACAGCTCCCAAACCTTGAGGAATGGCAGTGGAAGGGGGGAAAGGGAAGAGCGCTGCCGGGCTAGCTCTCTCCCTGAGCGGAGAGAGTCACGCCTCCAGGGCTGTGAATGATGAATCACATCTTTCACATCAGGACTTTGTTCAGATTTCCCCGGAAACTTCACTGAGTATACAATAGAGATGACTGTTCTTTTGGGGAGATTAGCATTTTCTGGAGGGATTAGTAGACATCAATTTGGGGTTATATTACAAATTAAAATGAAAATTAAACGAGTGTAATATGGCTTTTGTGGGCTGTGTTCACCTTTCTAGGAGGGCAGCATGGCCAGCCTGTGTGAAAGAGAAAATGTCAGACTTGGTTGCAGAAGCGCAAAGGGTGATATCTCCAGTCTCACCTTCCTTGACAAGAGGGGCTCTTTTCAAAATCGAGATGACACCTCTCAGTTTACAAGGCACTCCCCTGTGTATCATTATATTTAAGCTCTACCAAGCAGATGCATGGTTCCTGTTTTCTAGAGGCAAGAGCTTAAGGCCACAGCTAAAGGCACATACTGGGCCTGCAGCTTAAAGCCTGTGTCCTCTCCACTCCATCACAAGGCTGACCCACTCAGGCTCTAGATGGGGTCAGAGTGGCTGATGCAATTACTTATTGGCTCCTTGTCACCAACCATATTGTTTTGCCCAGACATGGGAGAGTCGTGGCCAAACTAAGACAACTGGTCACCCTACTTCCATGTTTTCATTAGTACTGACAGGAGATTTTCCAAGAACCACACTGAGTGCTAAGACACTTTAGGATGTAGCTGTATAGGCATGGGGTTTGCATAGTTTCATTCTACCCAAACAGCATTTGCAAGCATTTTAAAATGTACTCTTAGTCTCCTAAGGTTGCTATTTTGATTTCTTTTTCCTCTTCACTTCTTTATATCTCCTCATTGTTATTGTCTCAGATCACCAAAGGGTGGACGGGGAGGAGGAGGGAAGCAAGGAAAAATAAGGAAAGAAAGACACTGCATCCATCTTTTCACAGTGTGGTCTTGGTTGCGGTGTGTCAAGGACCGATCTGTAGCAGTCATTTCCAAACCTGAACATCGAGGTGGCCAGCCCCTAAGACGGCCCCGCGGATTCCGGCCTCTTGCCATTCCTGCTCTTGGGAAATTCTCTTCCCTCCTCCCTTGAGTAGATTTGTCTTGAGGGCTCCCTTTGTGTTTGTGGTTCACCCGCAGCTCTCACTTCTCTCTCTTTCTCTTTTCCTTTCTCCCTCCCTCCCTCCCTCCCATTTCTAACCCTGGGAAAGGGCAGATGCCAAGCTCAGTGAGCAGCCCCACAGACAGGTCCCTGTGGTGAGGAACTGATGTTTCCAGCCATGGGCCAGCAAGGACCCCAGGCCTGCTGAGGGACAGATAGGTGAGCTTGGAAGCAGAATCCCTAGCACCAGTGAAGGCCTGAGAAGACAAACAGCTTGCTGGTAGTGCCATCAAAGACCACCAGCCAGAATCATAAGGTCAAGTCAGTCTCAGAGTCCTCACCCATGTAAACTATAAGATGATAAATATTGGTGGTTTTCAGCCTTTATTTTTAGGGTAATTTGTTCAGAAGCAATAGACAACTAATACAAATATATATCAGAACCATTTAGATAACAACTTGATAAAATGTGTATTCTGGGCAGCACCCCCAGAGATATTCAACAGATGCAGCCTGAGACCTTTGCCTTTTCACCAGGAATCCCAGGGGAATCTGAAATGAACACATTTCTGCTTGAGAGCACACAAAATAAACCCTCACCTGGGAAGGCCTGGCCAGATCGGAGACTGTAAAGAAGGGAGAATTGCCAGGTAAAAACAAGATGCCCAGGCTGGGCACTGTGGCTCACGCCTGTAATCTCCACTCTTAGGGAGGCAGAGGCTGGAGGATAGCTTGAGCCCAGGAGTTTGAGACCTGTCTGGGCAATATAGCGAGACCCCGTTCTCCACAAAAAGGAAAAAAAAAAAAAGACAAAAACAAGATACTCAGTTCTATTTAAATTTCAGATAAATAGCAAATAACGTTTTAGTCTTAAGTATACCCCATGCAGTATGTGGGACATATTTACATAGACACAGTATTTGCTGATTATCTGAAATTCAAATGTAACTGAGTGTTCTGTATTTCTGCTTGCTAAATACCACCCAGAGGCCCCACGGGAAGTGAAGCCCCAATGGGAAGTAAAGTGGTGCCTCCCTTGCCTGGATGGCAGAATTTTTCTCCTTAAGGACACAGAGGCCTAGGCTCTTCCTTCCTGTGTGGTGGTGGGGGTGGCCTCCACTGGCCTCAAAGTCTTGATGTCCTTCTCCCCGAGGAGCTTCGGGTTGCCCAGGATGGCTCCTGCTCCCCCCGACCCCCACTCTAAGGACTCCCTCTAGGCGGAGCCCCTCCTGGATGTTCTGGTGGGAGGGTTTTGGGGAATCCTCCACACAGCCCATCTCATCTCCAAGAGGCTGGAGGCCCCACACGTGGACACAGTGTTGGTGGGCAGCCCCTTGATGACTGTGGCCAGTGTGTGGGTGAGGAGACTGGTCCAGTCGGTGGACCTCATGCCTGCTGGGCGCTGCCCACGGCACTGGGAACTTCCTTGCTTTTTTTGGTGCTGTTGGCACAGCCTTTCCAGAGCAGTGGATGAATGCCAGTCTCCTCCCACACCCCTGCAGGGACGCAGACCAACACAGCTGCTCTATTAAATGTATGCACTTCTTATTGTGAGTCTGTCTCAGAATAAGTCTCTGACGAGCACTATTTATTGCAGCCCTCAGACCTGTAAAGAGGAGGATGGTCCCAAAGAGCCCTGAATGCAGGCGGTTTCACAAACGCAGGCTCTCACTTCTTTTGTATGTACTTTCTTGTCACAGGGACATCCTTAATTTTGATGTTTTTTTTGAACTATGAAATAGAGGATGAATGAGAGTATGAGTGTATGTCTGTGTGTGTATGAGAAAGAGAGATATTGGCTGGATAGACTGAAATGCTTAAGGCAGAGAAGGAAGATGAAGACTCAGATATGTGTGGCTGTGGCAGAATCAGAAACTTGAATATGTGCTTTGAAACCGGACCTGAAAGTGAGATCACATCACTCTGCTGTGGTTCAGCCTTGCTCAGCGGCCTGATGCAGGCCAGAAACCCACGGGAGGGGAACTCCGCTCAGTCTCTCTCCTGAGAGAAACTCTGGAGGGATCTGATGTTTTGAGAGCAAGGAGGAGGTCTGGAATCAAGTGTACAGAAGCTCTGTTTGTCTGGGAGGCTCTAAAGGGCTCTAGGAGAACTCTTTCGGTGCTGCTTTATATGAATAAAACCAGCATGGTTAAAACAAAACATATTCAAAAAGTAGAATCCAAGGATGATGGTGCCACTGCATATCTTGGATGTCAGGAGGAATCCCACATTCCCAGACCCTCACCCTGATGTAGCTGACTTGGAAGGCTGGAGAAGACCACGAAGCCAGATTCTCTGGATGTTATAGAGCCAGAAGGCACTTTAATAATCGAGGCTAGGGTCCAGTGCAGTGGCTCATGCCTGTACTCTGAGCACTTTGCGGGGTGGCTCATGCCTGTAATCCCGGAGTTTGAGACCAGCCTGGGCAACATAGCGAGACTCTGTCTCTACAAAAAGTAAAAAATTAGTGGGGCATGGTGGTGCATGCCTGTAGTTCCAGTACTCAGGAAGCTGAGGCAGGAGTATTGCTGGAGCTCAGATCAAGGCTGCAGTGAGCGCTCCAGCCTGGGTGACAGACTGAGATCCTATCTCCAAAAAACAGACAAACAAAAAATCCAGGCCGGGTTCCTGTCTTACAAAGAAGCAAGGCTCTCACTGTGGCCTTCAGTTTGACGTTTCTGGGCATCCTAAAAATTAGTAGCCACCTCGCAGATTTATTGTGAAGATTTACTGCAGTGACATATATAAAGCCCTTAGCACTTTGCACTGAGTAAGTGGGAGCTGTTATTTCACTGGTTCTGTGTGCTTGAGTGTGTGGTGGCAAGGTTGGGGTGGGCAGGGAGATCTGTTTCACAACAGTACAAAAAAAGAGCCCTGCTTCCTGAGCAGGGTTCATATATATTTAGAGTCTTTTTAATTGGAAAGGACAAAATAGGACATTTAATTCAATCCCTTTGTTTTAGAGCTGATGAAATGGAGCTCCAGACAAGTGAGGGCTTGCTCAGGATCTCACAACTGCCTCCTGTTCAGGAATCCTGTATCATGCCTACACAGTAGGGAAACTGCTGTGCTTTTAGCCTAGAAACTCCGCTGCGATGGTGTCTCATTTATGCAACAGCAGATGGGAGTTCCCGCACACCAGAAGTACTTGGTTGGATCTTCTCAGATAGCACCAGCGCCATCATGGGGGGGCCCCTGAACTTTTTGTAAATGAATGAAAGTGCAACATAGAATTACATACAAAGACAAGTCTGGATTTGAAATTAATGACCGTGGGATTCAGAAATGATTTGGAGATAAAATGAATAGTTCAAGAAAATTTGCATCTGGGTAGCCAATGTTGCTTAGGAAAAACTTCTCTGTAGAATTTCAGAGACAAAGATCAGGTCTGTTATTTTAATTCATAGCCTTAGGGGGTTTGGAGGGAGTAGAAGGAGTGAGAGTTCTGAAGCACTTTTTTTTTTTTTTTTTTTTTTTTTTTTTTGAGGCAAGAGTCTTGTTCCATCGACCAGGCTGGAGTGTGTGGCTCCATCTCTGCTCACTGCAGTCTCCGCCTTCCAGGTTCAAGCAATTCTACTGCCTCAGCCACCCTAGTAGCTGGGACTACAGGCATGTGTCACCACACCAGGCTAATTTTTGTATTTTTAGTAGAGACAAGATTTCACCACGTTGGCCAGGATGGTCTCCATCTCCTGACCTCATGATTCACCTGCCTCGGCCTCCCAAAGTGATGGGATTACAGGTGTGAGCCACAGCTGTGCAGAAATAGGACTATTTTTCTGAAATAGATTAGCTTTTAAATATGTAGCAATGTCTAGCATTGGTTAAGCACTTGGTATGTATTTTACTTATTCGTTTAATCTTCACAACAACCTAGGGAGTTAGGTGCTAGAAGTATCCCCATTTACAGATGAGAAAACTAAGACAAGGCCAGGCGCGGTGGCTCACGCCTGTAATCCGAGCACTTTGGGAGGCCTAGGTGGGTGGATCACGAGGTCAGGAGATCAAGACCATCCTGGCCAACATGGTGAAACCCTGTCTCTACTAAAAGTACAAAAATTAGCCAAGCGTGGTGGTGCACATCTGTAGTCCCAGCTACTTGGAAGGCCGAGGCAAGAAAATCATTTGAGCCCAGAAGGTGGAGGCTGCAGTGAGCTGAGATCACACCACTGCACTCCAGCCTGGGTGACAAAGCAAGACTGTCTCAAAAAAAAAAAAAAAAAAGAAAAAGAAAATTGAGACACATAGAGTAACTTATTCATGGTCAAATAGCTAGTAAATGGCAACGTCAGGACCAAATCTCTGATTCTGGCTTCAGAGCTGTTCTCTACCATGTTGAGAGAGTCCAGGTATCAAACCTATGAGACTAAGAACATTAAACATTCCCCGTGCATGTGTGCATTTCATCACATTACTATCTCAAGGTTAGGAGCATGGAGCTGAACCCTCATGGTACCTAACACCGTAGTCTACCCTACCATACTGTTGGTCTGAAAATTCTGCAGAAACGTGGTGGGATCTTTCATTTTCTAATCTCTAGTGCTCAGCTCTTACTTTATGCTGCTGGAAGAAAAGCAGGAACTAACTCTGCTCTTTAGTCCACAAATGGCATAAGTAGGCAGCACCAGACTTAGTATTCGTTGCTTTTTAAATTTTTTTTGAGACAGAATTTTGCTCTTTTGCCCAGAGCTAGAGTGCAATGGAGTGATCTCGGCTCACTGGAACCTCTGCTTCCCAGGTTCAAGCAATTCTCCTGCCTCAGCCTCCCAATAGCTGGAATTACAGGTACCTGCCACCATGCCTAGCTAATTTTTTTTGTATTTTTAGTAGAGATGGGGTTTTGCCATGTTGGCCAGCCTGGTCTCAAACTCCTGACCTTAAGGGATCTGCCCTCCTTGGCCTCCCAAAGTGCTGGGATTACAGGCGTGAGCCACTGCACCTGGTCTGGATGTATGAGAATTTGTCATATATTAAAGAATATTTCAGGCTGGCCTGGATGTATAACAATTTATCATCTATTAAGAAATA